AAAAAAAAAAAAAAAACATACTCTAAGTCAACTTGACAATTCCTGCTTGTTCATTATACCACCTCCTGCTTCCTGAATAACAAGACTGGGAAATCTGAAACACCAGGATTGAGGCTTATATATAGTGCAAGTCTGAGGATTGAAGTTGTTTCCTCGATGTTTTGTACTCTGTTTATATAGTGAATTGCTCATCTCTGCTGTAGACGTAGGTCAAATTGACCGAACCACGTTAAATATTTGTCTCTTTTGGTATATTTCTCTTTTATTGTCTGATGTATCGTCATTCAAAGTTTGCTTTACTATCTTCCGTCAAAGTTTGCGTCACAGTTTTGACTGTTCACTCCATCAATTGCACATCACCAATGTTAATCTTGGACTTCTTTCTTTCTTTTTTTTGGCTCTTTCAGGCTCTTTGCTGCTTGTCTGGAAATAATAATTTCAATGGAACAGCGAAAAAGCATATATTATTCATCAAATGGAAGTATCTTGAAGCAAAGGTTTCTTTTTTTTTTTTGTACCAAACTTGTTAATTTCTTGTTAATTTTTTTTTCATGTTATTTTACTTTTCTTGCTCATATATGTTAATGGCATAATCAGGCTGCAGCTTACTACTACCATGGTATAATCGTCGACAAGGGCACAGAACCTTCATCCCACGTTAGTGCACTGTGTTGTTTCCTCGCAGCAGAAGAATTACTTACAGAAAGCAAAAAGGCTTCATTAAGTTTTTGCCTTGCAGAACCTGTGACAAGGTTTGTATCTCTCTTCTTTTTTACATTGCAAACAAAGAAAAGTTGTTGTCATGAGCCGTGAAAATAGCCTCTTGCAGAAATACAGGTAAGACTGCGTACAATAGAGCTTTGTAGTCCGGCCCTTCCCCGGACCCCGCGCATAGCGGATGCTCAGTGCACCGGGCTGTCCTTTTAAACAAAGAACATTCCTACTTTGTTATGAAGTTACAAACTATTATACTAAACTTTCCTTGTTGTCTTACTTATGTTTGTCTATCTGCGACAGAACTCCTCCACCATGGGGTGTTATGAAACATTTAAACAAAAAAGTTCCCGAAACGGCTACCAGAAAGTCTCAGATGTATGGCTACCTTTTGGATCAAGAAAAGTAAGGCTTACATCTTACACATTGATGAAATTTTGTTGTTATGCCTGAAAATTTAAACACTTACATTTATATATGATGATTTTGTAAGCAGAGGTCGAGCATTGCCAGATCTTCCTGAATTTCAGTTGTCGCTCAAACCTGACGAATATACATTGCCAGAAACAGATTCAACATGGAATAGTGAAATACCTGGACAAAGCCTCAAAGAACATCTCAAAGATTGTGAAGATGGGGTGGAAACTGAATAACACAATGGACATTTTGAAATATTTGTACATTTTAACTATAGAAGTGTATTCGTCCAACATAGGAGTATTTGTGTAAACTACTTTTTATCTCGCTTTTAACATTTTATTTTATTAATATAAAGAGATTCTTTAGGTTGCATCTGATTGCTGCTGCTTCCCAGAAGGTAACAATGGGGAAAAGATTGACACTTACTTATTCAAAAAGTCATTTTAAAGAATCCAATGAAGCAATCACAGTCACACTTACTGAATTCAACTCTGCTTTTTAATTAATGGAGCTTCGTTTTAGGTCAATCCAATCACTAAACAAGGATATATTGACAAATGAAGGTTCCAATTTTTGTTACTGATGCAAATTATTAATGTGCCCTTTTCTTTCTAATAAAATAAAAATTACGTTATCTACAGTTTAATTTAACATGTTATAGCAGGTAATATAGAGGTTGTGAGTTCGAGTCACCTCAAGAGCAAGATGAGGAGTTCTTGGAGGGAGGTATACCGAGGGTTTATCGGAAACAACCTCTCTATCCTAGGATAAGGGTAAGATTTGCTTACACACTACCCTTCTCAGACCCCGTTAGTGGAATTATAATGGGTTTTTGTTGTTTGTCGTATAGCAGGTAATATGTATGATAAGTGTAAAAGTTAAACTAATTACCTTTAATTAGGTCGTCATGCACTAACAAAAAGTAATATTCTACTATAATTAGGATTTAAGAGAACTTCCTCGTCACTTTCTTCCAAAAACGCTAACAAAAAAGTAATAATATTCTACTATCTCAACTTATAGCCTGTGTCGCCGATTTTCTTTTGAGGCAAAATGATTTCTTTTTTTTTTAATATTAAGGTGTTTGGCCAAGATTTTAAAGAAAAAATATTTTTGAGGATAAATAAAAGCAGTTTTGGAGAAGCAGAAAAAGTAGTTTTTCTTCGAAAGTACTTTTTTTAAAAGCATTTTTGAGAAAAATACACTTAAAAGCAATTTTTTAAAGCTTGGCGAAACACTAATTGCTGCTCAGAAGTATTTTAAATTAATTAGTCAAACACAAACTGCTTCTCACCAAAAATACTAAAATACTTTTGAGAAGAAAAAATACGTAAAAATTGCACGGAGTGCCTTATTTGGTCGCCCTCATTTAACCTATACCCATTTTTTTTAAAACTTTTAATTTGTACCCACTATTTAAAAAACTTCAGCCCCCTTTCTCCTCCTCCTTGCTTTGCAACTCTCTCGAATCATATACAGGAGAATCTCAGCTAAGAACCTTAGGACGTTCTTCCCATGCAGTGATACTATATAAATGCACACTTTCTTCCTGATCTCTCCATACCAATCTCCTTTTACTAGTTTTCTCAGCGCAAACCCTATTCTCTTATTTCTCTAATTTTCATATAAAATTTTGGTTTTTAGTTTAAAGCATATTGTGGAAGTCAACCCCTTTCGGTAACGATTACAATATCTTTTGCTTTTTCTCTTTCGAACTTTCTTTGCACAGGTTATAACCTGCAACTTATCCATCATATTTCTTTTCATAGGTTTGCACGCTATAGCTTATCATCGATCTTTCTACCTTTTTTTTGTTTACTTTTTTCAACCTTTTCAAGTTTGCTGAATATTTCTGGAATCCGAGATCATCTGTATATTTAGGTGAATGTACTTGCAACATCAAAGTTGATCAACCGCGAAACACCAAAACAGTAGTGATTCCCTCAGACTTCAGCTCTAGAGCTGAAGTTTCCCAATTACAACACAAAAACTTTAACTCTAGAGCTCAAGTTTCCCAATTACAACACAAAAACTTCAACTCTAGAGCTGAAGTTCGACAGTTACAAAACAAAAACTTCAGCTCTAGAGCTGAAGTTCGACAGTTACAAAACAAAAACTTCAGCTCTAGAGTTGAACTTCAAGTCCGACTACTAGAATGCTGAAGTTTTGCGTGATTGCCTTTGCTACTTCAGCCCCGTGTACTGAATATGCGAAAAAGCGCAATTTTTTTTGCAAAGCGGACACAAGTTAAAATGTGACACAAAAAGCGGGTATAGATGCAAATGCCCCAAAAATACTTCTCAAAATAAGGTAATTTTTGTCACTTGGCCAAACGGGCTATTAAGTGGGCTGTTTGGAATTAATTAACATACAGCAAAGTTTACCCTAAAGCATTTCAATAATCAAACGAAAGGTAAGCTTTCTTTGTCATCAAGTACTGTTTATCAAAAGCGATGAATTCGAATATGTACCAAACAATTTAAATCCCACATAGAATTCTCACAGTACATTACTGTTTTGTCTTTTAATTACTCAGTGAAGCATTATGAGGAAGAACATAATCCTTATAGATAAAGGAAAAAAGAACAAGAGCAAACAAAACTACAAAAGCCAAAAGGCAAAGGGTCATAATACTGAGAAGTTAATTTTATAGATAGAACTAAACTACACTAGCTAATCTACTGAGACTATATCTAGTAGAGTATTCTGTATATTACATTATCATTATCTTAAACTTAACAGCCTAAGCTACTAAAAAAAATTAAGAAAAGCAGAACAAGAGCAAAAGGGCCTCTTTTCTAGTTCAATACAAAATGGTACTCCATTTTTTAGCCCTATAGTAATTCTGGTTTAATAAGTTGGTCTCTGAACATGGTGAATAATAAATATAGACTCAAGATCTGGTGGATTAAAATATTCCCTAGCACCATCATAATTACATACTGATACCGGCCGGCGTTTCACCGGAGCCGGCGGGCATGGAAGTTTTTCCGGTATCCTTGAATTTCTTGCCGTTGGAGTTGTTGAACACTCTTCTTCATCTTCACACTCTTCTCTATTGGGCTTTTTTGTGGCTATTGATTTCAGTTTTGGCCGAAGGGCTATTCCTGCAATTACCCACATTTTGCTTTCTTCTTTCCTTCTATCCACTTGGTGTTTCTTTGAAGATCCCATTTCTAACCCAAAAAACACAAAACAAATCTTATTTCTAAAAAAAAAATGTAATGAACTTAAGAAAATGGCTATTAAAGGAATGAAACAAAAGGGTTGTCTTTCTTGTTTTAAGAATCCAAAAGAAAAGAAAAAGGGGCTAAATGTAAAGATTTTGAATGGAAGAAAAAGAAGAGATGGCGGCAAAATGGAGGGCAGTGTTTATAGAGAAAATAGAGAAACCTAATTTGCTTAAACTAATATGCTAGTAATTGTATAAACCATAAGGCTATAAAGAGGAGTTGATAAGAATAAGAAAATTGTGAAAGATTTTTTGGGATGCCCGTAGTATTTCGGGCAATGGTCAGCTAAAACCCAGTCGAAAATTTAGATTTTGGCGCCAGAATTTGGTGTCTGCAAGGCAACGGCTCTCTTTCCCGCCTAAAACTTTTCGTTTTTCCAATTTACCCCTCTTTCCTATTCATTATTTCTTGAATTTTTTTGCCTTCCCATTTCTTGGATTCCATTCGGAGGCGGATTCAAGATTTCAAGAGAACGGGTGCACCATTGTGAAAAGGTAGATCTAGAATCACGTGTTTAACTTTAGTCTTTAACTATGAACTTACTACAGTTTTGAAATTATAGATTTAAAATTATATTCTTTTTAAATTTTTACTGTATTCATGTATATATGTATGCTTTGTGCCGAAAACAAGAACATCCGAATTGGAATTTGAACCGCCAATTTTATTCTTAGAGGTGCACTCAATAATTATTGTACCATAGGAGTCTTTAAGCATGTACATATATTTAAGTAATTTTGAAAAAATATACATATTATTATATATGGTTTAGGAAGAGGAGTATGGGTTCACGTGAACCCATCCCCTAAGGCCTAGATACGCCCCTGATTCCAGTAAGGCCAAAATACATAGGTTTTGGAATGAGCCTATAACCATATTGGATAATTTGAGTATATTTAATTTTATTTTCATATGAATAATAAAAAATAATCAATTGAACTTATTTAATAATATATGTATAAAAATATTAGGCATGTAAAACATTAGAATTTTGAGATTTGAGAAGTATCTATATGTATCAACCAATTTAAGTCAGCTATAGAATACTTCTTTCAGTTTGTCGTTTGTTTGAACATTATTTTTGTTATATGCGAAGAAATATAAGTGAGTAAATTTTTGTGTAGGTGGCAAATGTATATATTTAAGTAAATTAATGCATTATATAAACATAACATACATATTTTATACATAATCAGCATATTTTTTTGTATATTTAACCTGTTAAAAGCCTGATTGAGTAATTGAAACATACAAGAAGAAAAAACCTAAATAACTGTTCACTCAACCGCTTAAACTAAAAATAGTCGGAGGATATATAATATATATATATATGATCCATATATAATATATGTATAATTATATATAATTAGTATATAATCTATGTGTATCGGCTAGGAAAAGTAAATAGTAAATTTAGCCGGCTATTTATGTAAGAATCCCCTGATACAATCACTAGTGGGACTGGCTCCCGGGCCCTGGCCCATGTTTTAATCCATCAATAAGACCCTGTTCTCGAACCCATTTAAGCATCAGACAGTAGAGTCAGATTGTTACAAGAAGGAAAGGTCCATTTATTTGCCACTCTAAGAAAAAGTCCATTTATCCGAAAAGTCCATTCTAGTCACACTAAAAAGCCAATATCTCATTCATTAGACAAATTCATTATCCAAAAAATTAAAAAATTAAGAAGGAAGACTTTCCCACGAGCTTATGAATTGTTTAATGATTGATCATACAATGTGCTTGGGCGATATGATTTTTCAGACCCAGCATTAAAATCATTGCCAAAATTTTTAAGATAATGAGTGTAATATCCTGAAATAGACCTGTGGTGAATCCAAATGCTAAGTTCGAGAAGATTTTTTAGGTCGAACCTTATATACAACAACAAACAACAATAACGACCCAGTATAATCCCACAAGTGGAGTCTGGGGAGGGTAATATGTACGCAGACCTTACCCCTACCCCGAAGGGTAGAGAGGCTGTTTCCAGGAGACCCTCGGCCCAAAAAAGTAACAGGAGCCGATATATTAGTACCATAAAAATGCATAATAAAATAACAGCAATATAAGAGATATGAAATACAGAATACGAAATACGAAAAAGATGGCTGGTATAGTAAAACTAGCAGGTAAAGCCCTGCATCAATAGACGACCAATGACATTCTTAGTCCAACTCCTAACTGGCTAGTCTCACTCTATTGTGCTGTAGAAATATTCACAACTCTCCCCTAACCTACAACCTTAATACTCGACCTCCATACTTCCCTGTCAAGGGCCATGTCCTCAGTAATCCTAAGTCGCGCCATGTCCTGTCTGATCACCTCTCCCCAATACTTCTTAGGTCGTCCTCTACCTCTCCGCGTGCCCACTACAGCCAGTCGCTCACACCTCCTCACCGGTGCATCAGTGCTCCTCCTCTGAATGTGCCCGAACCATCTGAGTCTTACTTCCCGCATCTTGTCCTCCATGGGGGCCACACCCACCTTCTCTCGAATATCTTCATTCTTAATCTTATCCATCTTTGTATACCCGCACATCCACCTCAACATCCTCATTTCTGCTACTTTCATCTTCTGGATGTGTGAGTTCTTTACCGGCCAACATTCAGTTCCATATAACATGGCAAGCCTAACCACTGCTCTATAAAACTTACCTTTTAGTAACGGTGGCACTTTCTTGTCGAACCTTATATACGTAGGGAAAAAAACAGGTATAAATTGAATTAAATATATATTCAAAATTCACTCACTAACTCAAAATCTACGTTTGAACTTATATTATTCAGGTCGAACCTCATATGTGCGTGTAAAAAACAAGTACAAATTGAGTTAGATGTACATTTTAGAATCCACTCGCTCACTCAAAATTTACCGCGTCTATAGAAATCCATACAACAACAAAAAAAAAAACCAATATAATTTCACAAGTGGAGTCTGAGGAGGATAATATATACGAAGCCTTACCCTTACCTTACGAAGGTAGAGGAGTTTTTAACAGACCCTCGGCTCAAGCCAGGCACAATCTTAGCAGTGTTTAAAAGAAGTGCAGATATAAAGAATCCATCTTGGCAATAAAAAAATATGCAATATTTATAACAATTTGCTTTCATAATCCAAGGAATGTTCTGTACAACAATTTTATTTGCTGGTAGATGAAACATGATTCCTCTCTTTTAACAATGAAATCTACAAAGGATACATATACAGAGTTTATGAGAAGTAATCAAATGCTACCTTTTTCAGCAGTTGCTATGAATAATAAGTAGCTCTCTTTAGCATTTCATTAGCTAAATTTATTCTCAGTAAACAATTTCAATGAATTTATTTGATGCCCATGTCCTGACCACATTAGAAACCTTATTTTCCTCAACCTGCAACCTTCTCAACTTTGGTGAATTCAACACAAATAACTCAACAGCCTGTGCCTCAATCCCACAACAATACATTACATCAACACTTTCTAATTTCTTGCAACACTTAGCCAATGAAACTATAGCTAAATTTGTCAACTTGTTGCAACCCCTTAACTTCAATTCATTCAAATTGTTACAAGACACAACCATTGATATCAGTTCTTTATCAATTAACATGTCATTAAAAGACAAGTCCAATTTCCTTAATTTCTTCAAATCCTGTCCTAATGTATTCAACAAACCAGATTCTCTTTCCACTACATCACAATTTATCAAAGCCAATTCTTCAAGTCCATTAGCCATAGCATTTCCAAGAATCTTTAGCCCTTCACCAGTAACAAGACAACAACTTTGTAACCTTAAACTCCTCAAAAACCCTAAATTTTCAGCAGCAGCTATGAAATGACTATTATCAAGATCAAGAGGCAATCTTAAATCAAGCTTCTGTAAATTAGTATAACATTTGCTTTGACTCAAGAAATGAAGTAACCCCTCTTTACTACCACCATCATATATCAACAAAGAATTCAACATACCACAATTCTCAGCTAGTTTCAACAAAACCCCATCAACAATTGCTCTACAAGTTCTTAATTCCACTGTTTCAAGACCCTCCAAATATTCAAGAAATGCTAAAAAAGAACTTTGATCACCAACACTTTCACAGCTTTTCAGCTTTAAATTTCTCACCTTTTTGCAATTTCTCCATAAAAAATTAACACCCTTATCCCTTGCTTTAATTCCAGACAACAAAAGACTTTCCAAATTCAACTCAGAATCACAAGAACCAGAAAAGTCAACAAAATCCAATTCCCTTGAATCCCCAGCTGAGTAAACAGATAATTCTTTAAGAGATTTATTAAAAGAAGCCAACCACATGAAATTCAAAGGTCTAAAAAGAGTAACAGTAAGAGAAACAAGATTAGGACAAGAAGCAGAAAGAGAAACAAGAGAAAAATGAGAAAGAGGACCAGATAAGAATTTAAGGTACTTGAGATTAGGACAAGATGAAGAGATTGAAAACAGTAAATGATCGGAAGAATCTAAGGTGCTTGTAATAGTAACAGAGACAGTAGATAAATATGGGTAAAAACGAAGAAAAGAGGTAAAAAGAGGAATAAAAGGGGGTTCAATGAAACTGAGAGAAAGAGAAGTAGTTGAAGAGCGAAGAAGATAAAGCCACCGCTTACAGACTAAAGAAACGGCGGCGGAGGACGGCGGTGGAAGGCGGCGGAATATTTCTTGAAGAAGTTCATCACATAGAATTGTATCCATTCTGTACTTTGCAATTTGCAGACACAAAAAATCAACTGATTTCTATAGTTTTAGCTGTGAGATGGCTTTATTTACCTACCACTCGTTATTTTTTATTTTTTTATATTTTTAAAATTAGCTTTCATTTGCTTTTGGTTGTGATGTATTTTTCTGGTTATAATTTTCTTCCCTATCTTTTGTTTTTTCTTTTTTGTTTCTTTTTTTAAGGACTTAAAAAAGGGAGCAGTTCTCTGACGCGGAAGACACGAACAATGCCAAGTTATTGCAGTGAAGCAAATGCATTTCTCATTATTCACTTCTGGATTTAATTTGCTTAATATATATAGCAGGAGCTTTATGCATTGGGCAGTCCTTTTTTTATACGAATTTTATCTTCTCATTTTGTTTTAACTTGTTGTAGTACGTTACTTGTCTCATTGCGAATAAGTATTGTAGTTTTTTTTTTTTTTAAAGAACGTGATAGTATAATTTTTTTATATTTGTATACTGTATATAATAAGTGAAACCCTTCTCCTACTCATTATATCACTTAGGACCAAAGTGAGTAATTTCAATTTTCAATAGCGAAAAAGGAAACTAATTGAAAAGTGATAAATGCATCTCTTGATACTTAATTGGAACACAAAAGTGAGAACAAAGTAAATTGAAACCTACTTAAATTCTTCTGCACTACTACTCCATCTTAGCTGAAGTAGTTAACTATTAATTATTCTACAGAAATAAAAGTTTGAATTGACAGAAAATTAAAATTTAAAAGATTATTTAAAAATGAATTTGGCGAAAATGAAAAACAAAAAGTTCACGAATTAGGCTGTGCTTAGATTAAAAAAGCATAACAAAAATAGAAAGGCGCGTGCAATATGCTAAGCGATGACGGGAACTACACCTACTATTTATTTGTTTGCATCGAATTTGTCTCCATCTTTTATCGCCCACCACGTTTGCTACGTTGGCACGTTTGTTAGACCGTTCATTTTTTGTATCTAAGTACTCCGTTCGTTTCACTTTACGTGAATTTATTTTTTTTGGTTCGTTCCAAAAAGAATGATCCCTTTTTAATTTGAAAATAATTTTGGTTAAACATACAATTTTACCCCTAGCGAAAAGCTTTTATAACCACACAAATACTCTGGAGCCCTTTTTGAATTGTTTAGGACCACAAATTCCAAAAAATTTTATTTTTTCTTAAACTACGTGCCTAATCAAACAAGTTCACATAAATTAGAACGAAGGGAGTACTAATTTTCTTGCCTTTTGCATCATTAAATTTCTTCTTTTTGTCCTCAACCCAACTTATACTTTATTCAAAAAAAAATAGTAAATATCTTTTGGAGATGAGGGATAAGGTGAAAAAAAGGAAAGGAAAATCGTTACGAATCTAAATTAATGAACAATAACAATAATCTAGTAAAATCTTATAAGTGAAGTCTGGGGAGGGTAAAGTGTACGCAAACCTTAACCCTACCCTGAAGGAGTAGAAAGGCTGTTCCGGGAGATCCTCGGCTCAAAAGATGAACGGAGACAATAGATCTGTATACGACTAAAACCGAGCCCACCCGATTTTACTATTTGACTGAGACCGGGAGGTTGCATCAAAGGACAACTTCGTAATAGAACACACTAAAATACGAGGATAAGACACATAGTGTGGAATCAAGGTACCTGCCAAAATCGAGGCTAATAGCAATCGGAGCCAAATGAGACATACATTGAGTAAAATCGAAGATAACACAATAACAAAAAGGCAAGATATCCGTGACTAGTCGAATATCATGGCGTGAATCTTAGAACTGATCAAATTAGAAATGGTTAATTAGCTAATCATGAGATTTTCTTTTGCAATTAGAGTTATACCATCAGTAGAATTCCTCTACTATATAAAGGAGAGTTCTAATCATTTGTAAAACACATTGATGACAAACATAAAAGGAATATAATTCTCTTTCTCGCTTATACTCTTGTTCATCAGCTTGTTACATTTTTAATTGTTCTTGCACTAATCAGTTCGAGGGTACTCTAACTCGAGGGCTGAGACCTGTTCAAACACGGGTTTGCTTAACTTTACTGTTGATTACTATTATTAATCTTCTTGTTTATTAGTTAGTATTAAGTGAAATCACATATCCTTAAAACCACATTATAAGTTTAATTGTTATCAAAATTTTAGGGTAAACAGTTTGGCGCTCGCCGTGGGACTAAGGATAATAGTGATTGCTTAATACTGATTCTGATAACACACACACACTACTTTACACTTTGTTCTTGTAAGTGTTTTTGTTTACAGGATAAAACATGTCAAGCTCACAAACAACACCCACACATAGAGACAATGACCTCGTATTCCACGGAGAAAATGATAATATAGCCGCCCTAGGGATCGAGGTGTCTCGGACTGATCTCGAGGGAGTACCAATTGCAAATCCCGTCGATGTCAGTTCACATATCGCCCTAAATGAAAATTTAGGCGTTCATTCCGAAGGTAGCATACGCAGGGAAGGTCGATCTAGTGGTCGAGGTAAGCAGGGCAGATGAGATGGTAGAGTCAACCTCCAATTGATGTTCGAAATGTTACAAACTCAACAAGTCGCTATAGCAAAACTACAAAATCAGCATCGAACGACGAGTGGGGTTTAACCAGAAGTTATCCACAGGATCGAGCCAGTACTGGAAAGGTCGAACAGTAATGAATCGGGGACTGACCCCGCCATTATAAAGAGGCTCGAGGAGCTCACTAAATGAATTGACTCGGGAGAAAAGAAATTCGAGGCAAATGATAAGAAAGTAAAGACATACAACTCCCGAGTTGACCAAATACCGGGGGCACCGCCGATTTTAAAAGGTATGGACTCGAAGAAGTTTGTGCAAAAGTTGTTCCCCCCAAGGGCAACTCCGAAACTGATTCCGAAGAAATTTCGCATGGCGAAAATACCCAAGTACAATGGGACTACCGATCCTAATGAGCATGTCACCTCTTATACATGCGTAATAAAAGGAAATGATTTAGAAGATAACGAGATATAATCTGTTCTACTAAAGAAATTTAGGGAAACTCTATCGAAAGGGGCAATGATATGGTATCACAATTTGCGACCTAATTCCACGATTCCTTCTCCATGCTTGCAGACTCTTTCGTAAAGGCATATTGATGTGCCGGAGAATTTCGGCACATTTAATATCAATTGCTTAGATTTTAACTCGTTTCAAATGCAATTGTCTGTTATACTTATGTAATTTTAATGTTTTGCAGTGCATAAGGCTTGAGGACCCAAAGACATGGAAATGAAATCAAAAGGCCGCAAAAGAGCAAGAAAAAGACAATATGCGGTCTCAAACTGAACATGTGGACCACAAACTCAACAGTGGACCGCGTAATGCTCAAGGAGACCGCAAAACACAACAGATTGTTTGGCGCATCCAATCGAAGGAAATGCGGTCCATTATGCGACCGCATAAAAAGTTTGCGGGTTGCATAACAAGTTTGCGGACCGCATAATGGATCGTAAACCTCTAGTAGAAGTTGCTGAGATCCGAAATGTGATGGCAAGATGCGGTCGCATATCAATAATGCGGACCGCATAACCAACATACGATGACTGCATGGAACCTAGGGTTGTGAAGATGCGATGGAACTGTAGAGAATGCGAATCGCATGTCTGTTATGCGACAGATATGCGGTCGCATAATTGACCTAGAAGGGTATTTTTGTCCAAAATTGGCCCCTATTTTTAGCCCACTATAAATAGATTTAATAGGATTTTGTGGGGGCATCTGGTTTGAAAAAGGAACTACATTCCAAGCTTTAAATATTCCCATCTTTTGGAAGCTTTGAGAGTGAAGAATCTTGCACTTTGTAAGCTTTATGGTATTTAATATTCTCATCTTTTTATATTTTAGCATGTGTAGCTAGTATTAAATACTAAGGTTGTGAACCCTAAATGGGTGTAATGTTAATGGGTGTTTAACATTGGACATATATATAATGGTTGGTTGATATATATTTATTTCTCATTCTTTATTTATTGTTGGTGGTTGCAATCATTAACAAGTGCCATTATATTCTTTCTTTACTTGGAAAAGTGAGTTAGGGTTTGGTAGAAGTAAATATCAAAGACTCAAGGCTTTAAACCTTGTTTAATAGAATCGCTTAGGAATAAGTGGGTTTTGTTTGGCATAAATTGATTACTCTTAATTGAAATTCTTTTATATTTGGAAAAATCATAAAGAGGAAATACTACCCAAATATTGGAAATATTGGGTAGTCATTTAGAAATCATTTGCATATCAAAAGGACCTTCCATTAAAAATATATCATATTAACACCGATAGCATTACATTTTATTGAATAGGACACAACCTTGGTTTAGTTAATCAAATTAATTACAACTTTATATAATCATACTTGTTACTATTTCACTAAATTACAATACCCTCAACTACAAACTCGTGTTACTCTAACGGAATAGAAATACGATTTAAGTTAAGCTTCACACTACTCAAGTAAACTTTTCACGCCTATTCCCTATGGGATTCGACCCCAACCTAGTTGGGTTACTATATTTGACATCGATAGCTTTACACTATTTTAAAGTGTAATTTGAGCGTATCACACATGTCGGATCAATAAAGGTTGAGACAAGGAAGTCGAACCTTTTCAAGGTGAAACAAAATGACAACGAAATGTTGAGAGAGTTTGTATCTCGGTTCCAGATGGAACATATGGAATTACCACTGGTCACAAACGATTGGGCTTTTCAATCCTTTACTCAGGGTTTGAACGACCAAAGTTCGGTGGCATCATGACAATTGAAGCAGAATTTAATTGAATATCTGGCGGTAACCTGGGCCGATGTGCATAATCGGCACCAGTCAAAGATCAGGGTCGAGGATGATCAAATGAGGACCCCTTCCGATTTCCGTTTATCCGAACAGGCCCATCAGCAGAACTCAGAGGGATATCGACACAGAACCTCGCTCGAATAGAGATCGATATCAACTATATAATGTAGATCGTAGAAACAGTGGCCCAAGACGCAAT